GGTCGTCGTAAAAGGATCTGGCTATTCTTACCATGTCTGTGCTGGCTGACTTTGTCATCCCCTGGTCTGCTGGGTCCTTCAGCCCCTCGATTGTGTTGTTCCTTGCATTGGCCTTCATCTTGGAGAAAAAGAATTTGGACATGGATTCATTTAGGGCGTAGTCATTCATTCGGCCGCGTATCTGTAGGCCTCCGAGTTCCCATCTTCTCCATTCGTTTAGTTTGTCCTTGGTAGATTGGAGTAGGTCGTGGTAGAAGGAGTTAGAGGGATCAGATGCTAGGTTGTTTTCTGCGATGTCGAGTACGATTTGTAGTTCCTCCTTCTTGTGTTTGCGTTCTGCTGCTATGCTTCTAGACTCTGTTGAGACCGTCTGAGATAGGTCCATATAGCTGTCTATGAACCATTTGTGCCTGTCCTGGCGTTTTTCTCATCTTGCTGTATGAACCACCAGTTCCATCTGACTGCCTCGGTCATTCGTTCAGTGGAGAGGAGTGAGTTGTTGAGTCTAAAGGAGCCTTGTCCTTTTTCTACCAGAGAGTTGAAATTAAGGAGCAAGGAAGGAACATCTTTGACAGGTAAAGATAGGATTTTTCTTGGAGGGCCTCAAAATTAGGCCGGCGGTCTGACAGTCCTAGGGTCCCGACAAGTCCCCAGTCCCAGGGTGGTCCAGTAGGGTAGGCCGTAGGGTCTAGGGGTCCTAAACGTCGTAGGTCAATAGGTGTCGGTACCGAAGCGTCATAGGCCGGGAGGAGTCCGTCCGGTACCCGACAAGAAAAGTCCGGAAGAGTCCAGTCCGGTCTGACAGTCCCCAGTCCAATTTTGCAGCATGTCCCAGGAAAGTGTGGAAGCTACTGGACCCTACCAGACGGACAAAACGTTTGCAGCAGGCAGGCCGCGGCTGACTGATACCGGTCTGAAGCAGGCCAAGCCAAGCCAAGCGAAGGGAAGCCAAGACCTATATGTAGCTGCTACAGTGCAGCGGTTCATCACTCGTTCAGTTGCAAGATGGGGAAGCGCTGCTGCTGCTTGTGCGTTAAGGCAACTTGGGCACTGTGCGCCTGAAGAAGGAGGCGCTTGTGCGATAATCCATAGCTAGGCTAGAGGTACAGCAGGAGGACGGTGACCATAGCCACCAACGTGTAAGCTACTTGAGTGGGTGTATCGAGGGAGACAATGTAAGTGAGAGAGAGAGAGAGAGAGAGAGAGAGAGAGAGAGAGAGAGAGAGAGAGAGAGAGAGAGAGAGAGAGAGAGAGAGAGAGAGAAGGGAGATAAGCCATAGCCGCCACCTGATTGGGATCTGTTGTGTGTGTTTGTGTGCGGCAGGTCCGCCAGAGACCAATTCGTGTATATTGATAATAATAGTGGAGACGACATCTTCAAGTGTTGATTGTATCTCGATTCGGCTTCTCACGTGGGAACTGTCATGTGAATGTTCACTGATGTATGCGAGGTTGAGCTTGACGAGAGGGTGATGTGGAGGGCGAGGGGTGAGATAAGGAGGAGAAGATGGGAAATGGTGGAGAAAAGAGCAGTATGTTAATAAAAGATGAGTGAGGAGGAAAAGGTAGACGGAGAGAAAGAAGGTTAGCGAGGGAGAGAGGTAATACCCGACTCTTGGGTGGCCAAGAGCAATAAAATCACCAAGAAGCCCATTGGTGAAGGGGGGCCTGGATCTGCTGCAGAATCGCTATTGCAGTAGTTAGACACTGATCAGATCTTAGCAGAAAGTAAAAGAAATTCCAGGGTTGGCTGAGATCTGGATCAGTCACCCTGTCTCCACTGTAGAGCTTACCAGGGGTTTTTCAGATGCTGCCAAATGGCAGCCAATACCGGCACAACAAGGGGAGAGAGCACTGCTGCTGCTGCTGTGTGTGTGTTGGGGGGGGGGGCTATTGATTAACTTGCTGCCACATATGTTTTACCACCACAGTGGTATGGCCAGTGTGCTAACACACTGGTCACATGCGCACAAACCACGCACCTGCCCGGGTTCAAACCCTGGCAGGTACCGTTGAAATCTTGATACACCAATATCAACATGCAGCCGTTGTCGAAGGGCGCGGCGTCTCGGCCCTCCGCTGTGTACCAGGCGCTACCTCTACAATGTGCCTAGCGTCCACTCACCTACGCTGCAGCGCGCCATTAGCCCACGGTTCTGGCAGACTCATTACTCTGTCGTGCTGTGGCCAGGTCCACTCAGAGAAGGTGCGGTGAAAAGACTAGAGTGGTGCGAGCTGAGACTCTCCCTAGTCGAGTTACGGTATGCATGCAGTGTGCTGCTGCCACTGTCAAGGCAAGGAAGGGACTTGAGGGTAGCGGCGCGAGAGCGGTGTTTTCTACAGCACATCGATCCCCTTTTTCCTAACCCTTAAGCAGCATTGGCCGGGGGGGGAGGCCGGTGTTCCGCTGCGCGCCGGAATCGGGTTGAAGTTTTGAGGCGGGCCGGCGGATGAAGGCGATCGACGGCGGGTGGGCGTGCAGACGGGTGTGCGTACCGAATTGTTCACAGCGGGCCAGAAAACGCGATAGCGCGCCCACAGGGCCCAACGGCGGCGGGCGTCGATACGAGGGAATATCTCGAAGCGCCCGCCGTCGGATAGCAAGAAAGTGTCGTTTTCTGTTTTTTCCCTTTTCTAATTTAGTTTTTGCTTTTTTTTTTTTCTTTTTTCTTGGGACGCGTTTCTCTTTTTTTCTTTTCTTCCGACAAGTTTCTCTTTTTTTCGTTTTCGCAAGTTACCCCGGCGTCGGCGCTGACAGCGTTTCTCTTTTTTTCGTTTTCGCAAGTTTCCCTGGCGTCGGCGCTGACAGCGTTTCTCTTTTTTTCGTTTTTGCAAGTTTCCCCGGCGTCGGCGCTGACAAAAGGAAGCGGGGTGGCGGGTGCGTCGCAGGCAGTGACCCGCCTCTACCCTCAGACCCCCACCCCCGCCCCCC